CTTCTCGAAGATGGCCTCCGCTTAGCGGAGGCTCGTCGAAATTCTGGCTGAAGGCTGTGGCGGAGGACGCTAGTGCAAACACCGGCTGATCGATGCCGCGTAACACTCCTCCGCAAACGTATACAGATGTATACTCACGCATGTACTTCACACTCAGGCACCAGCCTGGTGGATTCGGGCGCACCCAGCCCCTACGTATGTAAAAACAGAGGCATCAGCGCTGCGATGCAAACACCTTCGCTAGAAGGAAGCAGGCAGGGCGGAACACTGACATATGGCCTCGTGGGCATCTGGCCTCGTGGGCATCTGGCTAAAAGGACTGATCATCTGGCCTCGTGATCATCTGGCCTCGCGGGCCCATGGCGGCGCGCCGATTGTTGCCTCGCGCCACGGAAGCAGACGGCCTCAAGTATTTGCCTCGAGCTTCTTCTCGAAGATGGCCTCCGCTTAGCGGAGGCTCGTCGAAATTCTGGCTGAAGGCTGTGGCGGAGGACGCTAGTGCAGACACCGGCTGATCAATGCTGCGTAACACTCCTCCGCAAACGTATAGCTTCGTACGCATGTACTCACGCATGTACTTCAAACGAATGCACCAGCCTGGTGGATTCGGGGGCACCCAGCCCCTATGCAAAAACAGCGGGCGCAGCGCTGCGATGCAAGCACCTTCGCTAGAAGAGAGCAGGCAGGGCCGAACAATGGCATCTGGCCTCGTGGGCATCTGTCCTCGTAGGCATCTAGCTAAGAGAACTGTGACCATCTTGCCCCGTGGGCACTGACTGCGCCTCAAAACCAACTTGGCGCACAAAGCCTGCCGAACCCAGCAGTAATCCCCACGGGTGCGAAAATGGTGCGAACCTGTGGAGTGCATGCGCTCCTGCACGCGCGCCCGCAATGCAAAGGCAACTAACAACACATTAATCAAAGCCGGTGTCCTCGGCGCGCGCAGTAGATAACATCTCCACCATGTCGGGCGCACTCGCTCTGCGAGCTGGCTCGGGCTTCAACACCGCCCCCAAGCACGCCAATATCATGCCGTCAGGTACGTTACCCATGGTCGTCATCACGTCGGTATGGCAGCCAGCCTGGGAGAAGAACTCGAGGATTTGCCACGCAACGTATGCGAGGGACTCGCGACGGCGCCACTGGACGGATAACTCGAGCGAACCCTGCCCGCAAGCGGTCTCCAGGAACAGCACCCCGACACTCCAGCAGTCTGCTGGCTTGGGCAAATACTGCTCGTCCAGCACCGTCTCTGGAGCCACGCATGGCAGAGATCCGCACAGGGTCTTCCTTGTGCTTGAGTTTGGAACGTGAGCTGCCATGCTGAAGTCCACAAGGCGGCAAATGTGCCGAGTCCATGCCATCTCTACCGCCACGTGCCTCAGAGACACTTGCCCATGCACGACGTCCCGGGCGTGACAGTAGGACAGAGCACTCGCGACCTGGGCACTGCAGTTCAAGGCGTCGTCCCTGGACAAGCGGTGGCCTCCTTGAGTCGACAACACCTGCTCCATGCACGCGTCTCCTCCGTACTGGAGAGCCAAATACACATTACACTGGCTGTGCAACATACCTACGCAACGGATGATGTGTGGGTGGTCAAGGGTGTGCGTCAAAAGACAACATTCTTGGTATATGCTCCCCACCTCCTTGGCATCGGTGACGCTGCGCTTGTCGTACACTTTGATCACTACCTTTTCATGCTGTCCTTTCACGGCCAACAACACGTGGCGGTGATCCGAATACGGGCGCACAAACTGGAAGTCCCCGACCCGATTCCCACCTTCCAGGAGACGCTCGTCCAGTGGCGCGAAGTCGGGCATCAACATATTCGGGATGTCATTCCAGAGGAGACCACGGAACTCGTCCTCGATGATTTTGAGATCCCTGGCAGAGGGTACCCCCTGGTTCACATTGTTAGCAAATGCCTGCACGCGCAGCTGGATGGCGGCGTTCTCTTGGAGCTCCAAACGTAACCTATGCTGCAGCCCTTCCGGGTCACCTGCCAGCTCCATCAGCACGCCGTCTGCCCCGAAGCTGTAGAGCTCGTCCTGCCGCGCCATCAGTTCACTGATGTAGGCCTTTGTCAGCTCGGTATCAAGCCGATCTGGCAGCTGCACCAAAAAGACGACCGCGTCGGGATGCGCCGTCCTCAGATAGTTCAGAAGTCCTACCACGCCTCTCTTCTCCCTCTTAGTCCTGAATACGGATACGATCAACACGACGTCGTGTTGCTCCACTATATGAGCGATGTCTTCCGGACTTACCTCTCCGCCTGCTCCAGATGCCAGCACGTTGGCCGGCTTTTCCTGCGAGCTCCACGGCACCAGAGTCAAGAAGCCAAAGGCCAACGTGGTTGGTGCGACGCTGGAGACATATGCCTCCACGACGCTCTGGATCGCACTGAGTGTTGCCATCATGTGCGAACAGTAGGACTGGCAGTCGGGACCCTTGTTGAACCTACGCCCTCAGAAAAACGCTTCGTGAGTCAAAAAAGGCTACGGACTCTTACACGTAGCCTTAGGTCGGGCCTGTCCCTCTACAGGGGAATTTTGGACGAAAAATTAAAAATAGCAAAAACATTCCCCAAAATGGCTAAACATACTAAAGAAATCGTCCCCAGACTATTTCTGGACCATTTTTGAATATCCCTCATGTAGAGGAACAGGCCCGACTTAATCGCACTGTCCTGGCAGTCCTATAGGCGTACCACGAAATTTTCTTAAAACTCAAGAATGTTCTAAGAACAAACGCAATGTTCCTAGAACATAAACCCCACGCGTTAAAACAAGACAGTCTCGACCATAAGTGTTCTAAGAGAATGTCGTGCAAACCACCAAAGGTTCTTAGAACATTCTTTGGTAGGCCTGTAGGCGAGCTAGGACGCTTCGCCAATGCTCGACTGCACGCAGTGCGCGCCGCGCCGGTGCACTGAAGCAGAGCTGCAGGTCATTCGGAAGAAGCAGGCAGAACACGAAGCGCTGGCCTGCAGAACGTGTGCGCGCGCATGGAGCGCCAACGTGTGCGTGTCCTTCGAAGCTCGTGTTTTAGTACGATGCCGGCGGTCTTAGGGACGGCACAGGCTGCACGGGATCGGCGGAGCTGAACGCGGCGGGAACACATTGGGCCAAAATGCGTTCCGAGGCCCATCGAAATAAGTAGGGAGGCGGTTCAAGTGATTTTGCCTCGGCGAAGAGAACGACTGAGTACACGTCGATCGTTACCATATGAAGGCGACTGACCAACCGTGGGATCTGGAAATCCGAAAATGTCCCCCTCTATCGAGCGGCCTATATCCTCGCGCCCTCACGCTGACATGCTTGACGGTCATGGATACGATGTGACAAAAGCACATGAACTGTCGGACGTTGGCGTTGTTTTCGGGGGTCGGCGAAGAACGGACACTCGAGGCCGAAGCTTAAGAGGACGCGAGCAGAAATACACGATGCGCACAAAGCTCATACATACCACAAACATGGCTGGCCAGGGTCATCCGACATCCTGGGTCTTGCGACCCTCTACAACAATAATGTTGAATATTGATGACACGCACCTTCAAGACGCGTGTCATCCATGAATGTCATGCCGTCAAGGTCGTCCCCCTTCAGTGTCGAAGCAGAACGCGGTCAAGGTGGGTGCGATCCGTATGTAGAATGATGACCGTTTCTGGACAGGGAGCGCAAACAAGACGCGATACACCCAAAACCAAGAACATCAAACACAAAAGCAACCCGCACTACACACTTCGGAGGCTCATTTTGTCCTGGGTCGTAAGATGGTGTGATGGGCCGATGTTCCACCACCACCACTTACCATAGGTAGGATAGGGAGGGAGGGAGGAGGAGGAGGAAGAGGAGGACGAGGTCCTCCTCATCCTCCATGCCCCCCGTCGCACCTATGGTAAAAGTGATGGTGGTGGTGGAAAATTGGCCCACCATGGGCGGGTAAAGGACTTGCCTCGGGTGCCCGCGCCTCCCGGCGCTGGAGGCGACCTTTGTATCGGGGGGGGTGCCCAGCAGCGAGGCCGAAACCGGCGGCATGCAGCACTGTCGGGGCCCCGCCCGTCAGCACGGGCGGCGAACCTGTCGATGTCGGCGCCCTCGCGGTCTGGATTCCGGAGCGCGATCCCGAAGATACGCGGTCGCACGGGAAGTTCTGCGCGGGGCATCCGCGAAACAACGCCCCGTGCCCGCAGGATCGCGGCCCAAGGGCCCGAACCCGCGAGGCCGCGGATACGGATGTGTGCTTCGCCCACGGAGTTCGTCACCCCCTCCCGGTCGCCCCATCCGAGAGGTTATTCTGCCGAGAGTTGTGGGATGGTGGTGTCTGTTTTTTCGATGCCGCCTGCAGATTCGCCGAGGCCGCCCAGGGCTCGGCGACACGACCACTGATCCGACCGAGGCCGACAGCGAAGCCGAACCCAACCAGAACTGACAGGTCGCAAGCAGTCTAGAACGGCGCAGCGGCGGCACACAGCAACCGACCGAGCCGAGCCGACCGAACGCAGCCGACTGGCGGCACAGACGAGCGGACCGAACCGCGAGCCCCACCGCCTCGCCTGTCTTGGCGGCGTGCACAAGGTAGGCAATCGCACTTGAACCCCACACCCTACCCCTGCCGGGGTTTGGAATTGGATGAATGCCTGCAGCCAAAACACCTCAGCGGGGATGTCATCCAAAGGGCGTGCCCAGGCGGAGGACCCGAACGGACATTTCGAGCCCTCGGCCCCGAGAGGCTCCCAGGAGGCCGCAAGAGGTCCCCAAGAGGCCCCCAAGAGGCTCCCAAGAGGCCCCCAAAAGGCTCCCAAGAATTCCTAAAATTCCTCCCCAAAGGCAACCGACAGATTTCCGAAGAGACTCCAACAAGCATCCCCTGAGGACTCTGGCCAACATCAGCGTCGTCGTCGCCGCCGCTGTCGCCGTCATCGTCGTCTCCCTTCAGTGTCGGCGGCATCGGCCGTAAAGCCCTTGCAATAAACCTCAACGGGGACGTTCCACATCCCAGCGGCGATTGGATCCGCCTGGGCATGGCTGGACGGTTTCCCCGGGGGCCGTAGGCGGCCCGAGGAGAGGAGGGCGAGGAGGAGGGAGAGGAGGAGGTGGGGGAGGAGGAGGGGGAGGAGGAGGAGGAGGGGGAGGAGGAGGAGGAGGAGGAAGAGGAGGATTACGCTGTAAGGATTACGCAGTGTGGCCGTCCACGCGGCACAGCTCGCAGCTCGGCATCGCAGCACCAAGGGGAAAGTCGGAACCAACACCAAGACCCTGGTGCCGAGAGAGCCGTCTTCAAATTCATCCAGCGTGCTCCAGAAACGCTCTGCCTGAGCACGCTGGCAAGCAAGGAATCCACCAACCCAGCCATGGGCCATAAACCACAAAACCATCGAACAAGTGGCTCGGCAACACGCCCGTGTTAAAACTGTTAAACAGATTCCGGACATTCCAAGGGTTCAAAAGGTCGCGGAATCGGCTTCAATTCTCAGGCGCATCTCACGCCAAATCTGGCGGGCACGGATCTTCCGCGCCGCAGACAAGCCACTCTGCCGCCTCGCCCTCTGGGTCCAGGGGCCTTGCCACAGGCTGAGAGGAGTCGCCAGGAATCACCGTGGGAGCACCGTCCTGAGCTCTCGACGCCGCCACAGCCGATGGGGCAGGTCCTCGGGCCCCAAGATCCCCCGCCACAGTCGCTTTGGCCACCTCTTCAGCACAAACGCGCGCATGCAACGCCTCGAGGACCGATTTAGGAGGGCCCTCGCGGCGTGGGTACTGGTCTCGCCTGATGTGAGCTAAATTCTCGGCTCCTTTCCGTGATCTCCCAAGGCATCTGGCCTCAAGATGTCTGAAATCTTCCGTCGCATACCTACCGCATTCGTGGCAGAACACCATGCAATACTTGGGCCACTCTCCAAGTCTGTGAGTGCTGTGCAGCTCCCTCCCGCCCAGGCCCCTTAAAACACCCTCGCCCACAGCCCTGTGTTCAGGACGGGGGGGGTGGGACAGGCGGGGCTGGCGGAGGTACGCACGCAGTGCTGCAGAACTCCAGCAGGCTCGAGGCATGCACTCGCTGGTTGCACACCTCGCATCTCCATTTAGCGCCGTCCTGGGCCATCTGGTGGCCCGTTTCGCGGAGAGTTATCTTCACGCCGCTCTCGCGGGCCGAGGAGGAAGAGGAGAAGGAGGAGGAGGAGGAGGAGGAGGAGGAGGAGGAGGAGGAGGAGGAGGAGGGGGGGAGGGGGAGGAAAAAGAGGAGGAGGAGGATGAGGAGGACGACGACGAGGAGGAGGATTAAAAAACGAGGAGGAGAAGGAAAAAGAGGAGGAGGAAGAGGAGGAGGAGGAAGAGGAGGATTTGTGTTTCACATGCACCGCAGCAGAGCGTCCTCCACCACCAGTCTAACAGCTGGGCGGGGGGGCGCGGAGAGCTCCCACTCCTGAGTCGCAAAAACGAGGCCAGGAGCAGAGAGCAGGCGACAGGCCAGCACTGTGCCACAGGCACCCACGAGCCAGGAGGGACCAACCGCCCCCCCCAGGGCTCACGGACATGAAGCAACCATCGTGCTGGACAAAATAGTCACCTTTGGCCGATTCGGGTGGCGGCCCGACAAGAGCTTGGCCCAGGCGCCGGGTGTCCTGGGCAGGCCATCCTTGTTGACGGGAGGGCCCGAGCAGCGATTCGCGAGATGGGCGAGCCGCAGCCCTGAGGTGTAGCTCTTGCACACCTGACACAAGCAAATAAACGAGTCGTCACTGCAATCCACCACCCAGCACCTGTGGCCGAGCTGTGAAAGTCGAGTGACATTCACACGGCAATGATGAGAACAAACGCCAGGAGGCGGCTCTGCCGCGGAGCGCCTCCCGCGCAAACGTTGAAGGCACTGCCAGAGGGAGCCCACCCTCGCCCAACGATGGCCCGATCGGGCCTCGGCCACAGGACGCGGAGGGAGGATCAAGGGCACCCCCTTAGGTTCCAGGCGAGGCCACAGCGGGAGCAGGTGGGCAAACAGACGCGCCACCGCTTCGGCAACCTTGACCTCACGGCCGACCAAATCTTGCAGCTCGGGCGAGGCCGCAGGATGCTGGAAAACACACCGCTTCGCCGCGAGGTCGGCCGCATGGTTGCCTAAGCGGTGGAAGGCCTCCAGAGGAGGCAACTCATCATCGAATCTCTGGTGGGCCTTCACCTTGGTAAGACTACGAACCAAGGAGGCCTGGGAGAGTGCTTGCATGACCGTCCCGCTATAGACCAGCTTATAACTGATCTGGTTCACGAAACCAGGGGCACGATACTGCTTGTGCACAGTCAAGCAATCTGTGTAGAAACCGCTAGGACCTCGAATCAGAAACACAGCGCCCCCTAGGTCCTAATATTCCCCACCCTGGCTGCTTTGGGGCGTTGGGCTCCAGACAGGGGCCGAAACCGTGCAAAGAGGTGAGCCGTCGAGAAAAATGTGGCCTTCAAATCCTCCGCCCCGACGCTCGGGGCCCTCGTGCCATTGGATGTCAAC